TGAGGAGAGACCTTGGAGAAGAACATCATGCTTGGTAGGGTGGAGGGACAGCGCAGGAGGGGAAGGCCCTCTATGAGGTGGATTGATTCAGTGACTGGCGTAATTGGGATGGGAGTGTCGGAGACACTACGACTGGCACAGGACAGAGCAGGGCATAGGGCTATTGTACATAGGGTTGCTATGAATTGCAAGCGACTCGACGGCACATAACAATAACAACTTAAATTTCTGTATTTTACATTAATTTAGGATTAAAAAACTTCATTGCCTTTGAGTCAGAACCAAGTCATAACTAACACTGTGGTGGGTTTTCAGAGGCTACAAATTGCACAGGAGACTGCCCTTCTCACTCCTGCAGAGCAGCTGATGGATTTGCCTTTGGGTTTGAAGGGCAACTCCTTACAAGAGGTCCCTCTTGTTTTCGCTAGAACTTTTCAATTGTTTCTCACAGTTCTGAGAATAAAGACCAAAATATGTAACATGGGCGGCAAATTAGTAACAATCCAGTTAAATAGTGATTCACTGGACTTGCTTATCTGATACCTTAACAGAATAGCATAACACATAGAGCATATCTATCCTTCTAAAAACAGCAGCCAGTCCAGGTAAGTGTACATAAAGAGCATATATATCCTTCTGAAAATAGCAGCCAGTTCAAGGTAAGTATCCTCACTTGAAAAATAGAGATTTGGAATGATATGTCATCTAATTTTGCAACAAAATGAAGAAACCCAGAGCCTTTGATTAAGATTTCCTGTTCAGTGAATTTAAGAAACAAGTTGAAACATTTGTAACAACTTACAGGTAAAATAACAAGAAGAATCTAATCTCCCACCAATTCTCTTCACTCTACCCTACAGTGCTATTCTCTACACTTGTTATTGTTGTATACCTTCAAGTAAGAACCAATACATAGTTTACCCTCCAGAAGGTTTCCAGAAGCAATCACTCAGTCACTATAGAATACACAGGAGGAGACAACATTTTCTCCCACAGGGCAGCTGGTGGATTTGAAGCATGTATGTTTGGATTACCACACAATTCCTTATCCTCACAACTTTCTACATTAGCTAGCAATACTTAATTATTACTCAGCATGATGTCAAGCATTACTTTAACCTTACAGTTCTCACAAATGCTGCTTTTGCCAATTTTGTCCCACATCTCAAGTTTTCTTGTAATGTACTCATTTTAAATTTGTGAGCCACCCCTTTCTCAGTGAAGCATTCCCTAATTTGAAATGCTCCCTCCCCAGATAAGCAAAGGGCTAGATTCACCCCATTCTGTGCTTTGACAATTTTGGTTACAATTTAATAATATTTATCACATGTCGTTTGTTAGTTTATCACCACTCAAAAATAAAATTATTTCATATCTATCATTTTCACCTAGATGAGAAATTTCATAGACAAGGCCTGACACACATGCAAAACACAGGGCAAGCAACAAAAATGTGGCTGGGAAAATCTTTTATATAGTAAAAATTTTTATGTACTTTCAAATACGTATGCTTTTTAAAACCAAAGTAGATTAAATTATCCTATTTAAAATTATAATTACTGATGATAATACTAACAGCAAACATTGCAGCACATCTATGAAATGCATATTTTCTCTCCACTGCAACCAGAATAATTAAAAAATTATATTTTTAGGCACAAAGTTTGAAAATGTGCACAAGATCACACATCTCTTCTATGACAAAATAAGGTATGAATTCAGGAAGTCTAACTTTACAGCTTAAGCACATAACCTATACTAAATTAACTCAATAATAAAGTTAATTCTCAAGCATCTGGTAAGTACTATGAAATCAAAGAACATAATCACCATGAATTATTCTCCATTACTTATCAGTAAAAATAGGTCTGTCATGCAGAGAGTGAAAACAAGTTTCTTTTAGGAGGCTAGGATTTTGAAGCCATGTCTCACATACTTTGGGCACATGGCCAGGAGGGACCAGTCCATGGAGAAGGGTATCATGCTCGGAAGGGTGGAAGGATAGCGCAGGAGAGGAAGACCCCAGATGAGATGGACTGATACAGTAACTAGGGCAATGGGGGTAGGTATGTTGGAGTCAGTAAGACTGGCTCAGGACTGGGTAGGCTTCAGAACTATTGTATATCGCATTGCTGGAGTCAAAGACGATTCAATGGCACATAACAACAATATGAGTAAAAAGGAAATCTTTCATCCCTTCAACCTGCACATTTTCCCACAGAAAATAATTTAAACTGTCAATCTGTATTTTCCAAATTAAGAAAGATGGCTATTTCCCTGGTCCACATTCAACCTGGGTATGATCTTGGTACCAGTTATGTCTGTATAAATACTTTCTGAATTTTTTTAATGTTGCTGTTGTTATCATGTGCCCTCAAGTCCACTATGACTCATAGTGGCCCTATGAACAACAGATCTGACCCTTGCTTTAACCTGCCCCTTCTCACCTTCATTACCCACTATTACAGTCACTGTGTCAATAGCATCTTCCTCTCCTCTGACTCTCTACTTTTCCCAGCATGATGTCTTTTTCCAAAGATTAGCCCCTCCTGACAACACATTAATAAGTTATGATTTTTAATAACTTTATGTTTATCTAAGAATTTGTTTACATAATGTTTATAAATAATTTTATGTTTTGTTTCAACATATCTGATCTCTAACTTAAAATGTACTTAATTCCTAAAGATAGAATTCTTGTCACGAAGATGTTTTGAGATATGGTATTCAATACCAACATACTACAGTTGTAAAAATGCACTGATAAAATCACAAATACAGAAATCCCTATCTAAACATTTTTTTTAATGCTTGCATTCCAGACATTCAAATAAGATTCTCAAATATTTCACTTCATATTAAAATTTTTACTTCTTACTATCCAAAACTCAAGGCGGTTCTAGTGACCTAGTGGCAAGAAGCTGCGCTGCAATCCAGAAGCATGTAGTTCGAATCCCACCAGCTGCTCCGCGGGAGGATGGGCAACCTTCTCCCGTGATTAACTGCCTCTAAAACCCGACAGAGGGTCAGCTATGGGTCAGTTCTGACTCGACAGTATACAATAACATCCAAAAACTCAACACTTGGCTCACTCATAATCCCTAACTTACAGAATTCATTATACAATCACTCACTTTCCAAATTGAGGAATCCAAAAGTTTTAGAAAGCAAGACTGAACCCATGGAAGCGATATAGTGTAAGAATTCTTACTTGAGCAGTGAATAAAAGATGAATAGTGTGCACAGTCATGTGACTAAAATGCACATACTTATATTTCCATTAAAATTTTATACTTTAATTGGAAATTATTCTACGTAAATGTTCAACTAGAATATATGGGGTTTTTTTTTACTTTTCAGATTATACTAAAAACAAAAAGGAAATGTTTTTGTATACAATGATAGTTGAATTATGTTGATGCATGGCTGCTGTCAACTCTGAAGCCAGTCTTAATATATTTTTCAAATATTTATCAAGCTTATATAAATACCACAGAAAGCAAGGTTTTAAAGAAAACCATTCCTTTCAGAGTTCATTTTCAGCATCGTATTTCACAGATCTGTTTTTTCTCTAAGTCACAAAAAGACAAAGGACAAAAACAAATGCAAAGCATATGGAAGTTGGAAACAATGGCAAAAATTCTAAATTCACTTAGTTACAGAAGAAAAGCATGAAACAATTTTTGATGTAATTATTATTACACAAGGTTCAGCCAAAAGTCAAAGACTCATCAAACAAGTAGAGAATAACTAGTTTTTAATAAAGAGAAACTAGCTCTCATTACAGTAAAGCATTTACCCAGGTACTTAAGTCTAATATTTGAACATAAGCTTTTTCAAAAAATTAAGAATTCAGAATCAACTAGTATAATAAGGTAATTCACATGGGCCTATTTTTAAATGCCTAATAACTCTTTCTTATAATTAAAAAAAAAATAGAGCTAGTGTGAGTTAAAAACAGAATTCAGGTATAATTTTTTTGCCTCTGCATAGTCAAGAACTATTGCAAGAAATAAATAAAATAGAAGATTTAGTAAGTTTAAAAGTAAAAAAGAAGAAATATATTAGGTTGTGGAAAAGTCAACTACATTCCTAAAGTCTTCCTTTGAGTTAAAATGTACACATGATTAAAAGAATTTTAACTAGAGCTCCCATCTTACCTTGAGTCTATAGTCTCCTAAGGGGCTCTTTAGATTTGGAGATCTGAAATAATGTGACCTCAACTGGTAATAGCTACTTTGGGGGGTGGGGGTGGTTATCAGAGCAAAACTGTAAATTAACAACAAAAACTAGAACCAACCTGTCCAGAAGACTCACAACAGGATATGGCTCAGGAGTCAACAGTAGCTTGAAATTAACTAGATTCCATGTAGAGAACCAACACAACCCCCTAAAATAAGTATTTTCACAAGTCAAGAAGTGACAAGTCAACAATCTTCCTAAAAAGCTGGGATTCACTACTAACTTGAACTAGGCGCCAGAGACAATCTTGGAACAGAACATAGCCCATGGGAGCAGTCAAGACTTCATGTGCAATTAAAAGTAACACCACATTCTGGAAAAAAATACAGGCACAGCATATGCCACTATTTCTTTGGGTGAATTCTCGCACCTCTATTGTCAATTGTACACATCTGACACCCCTTCTGTGGGCATTACCGTTTTATTACAATATAAAAAGGAGGAGCTGAACTTTTATTAGAGGAGCAGCGTGGTTTTCTTTCATTCTCAAACTGTGCCAAAATAATCACACCACTTAGCAGTCGGGGAGAATAACTCAGGGGAAAGATGAGAGAAGTCGATGCAACCGCCCCTTGTCCTCCCAAATGTTAATAATTCCGGAATTTGAGAAGCCTACCAACCTGTGTCTATGCTCATCAGGACCGTGGATCAGGAAGGCTCCAGGGTTCTTAGCTCCTTTACCGGCCTCTACATGAGGAATTAACACATCTTCCAGACCCAGATCAAAGCGTTTGTGTTTGGAAGAATCTGGAAGGAAGAAGAATGCCCCAAAACACAGGGTGATGAAGGCACTAAGAATGAGGAGGAGGATAAACTTCTCCGAGAGTCTCAAGGTAGCCCTGTGGTGGGGGAAGGAGGGGGGCCCCAGGTTCAAGGGCGGGATCCTCCGTCCAGACAGGGGCAGCAGGGCTGGGGTGGTCATCGTTGACTCTCTTGGACAGAAGCCTTTATAAAGTTCTCATCTTATATCAAACGTATGATACATCGAATACCGCCTTCACAATGTTGGCCTCCCCCAAAAATGGGGAAACTCAGTCTTTCTCCTCTTAAGAGAACTGTTGTGCTTTTCTAAAAGGACTCTTCTTTCCAACGCCCGTCCAATTACATTGGTAAACTTGGGTGACCCCGAGACGATCACCCGTGCACGTCCGGTGAGATTTGGCTGGCCATCTGGCTCTCAGTGCCTCTCCCGGCTAGCACAAGTCTCCTCTTCATTCCCAGGGGCAGACCAGACAAGCAGCACTGCAGAAGAGATGCAAGGTGGGTTCGTCCATTCCTGCTCCCCAATGAGATGCTCCAACTGGGTCTCCCGCCCCCAAACAAGGAGGTCTTACGTGATCCCGGAGTTGCCGATGATTCACCCCAACCTCCCCTGGCGCTTTTATTGCAGAATTTCCCCAACCTTGGGGCAAGAAAAAAAAAGCAGGATCGCCCGCACACTCGGCGAATACGAAGAAAGGTCTGCCACCTCGCCGGGAAGCCGAAGCCAGGGCGCGGAATGGAAGCGCAGGAAGGAGGGCTTCCCGGACGCCGCCACCTCCCAGCGCGGCCCCGCAGCCACCGGGCGGGGGCGGGGGGGCGCGGATGCCGCCCCCTCGACGGCGAGCGCGAAGGACAATTAGGTCCAAAATACCTGCGCCCTCCGAGCCGCCGCTGTTGCTAGCGCCGGGGTCTGTCACGGAGCGGAACTTCCTCCTCCGCCAGTGAGGAGCCGGCGCACGGGGGGAGGGGAGGAGCGGCGGCCCCCGCCCGACTCCTCCTCCCGGCGGCCGCCAGCGAAGTTAACCCCGGCACCGGCTCCCCGCGCCAGGCCGCCGCTGCCCCCGCCGCGCCCGGTCACGGTGACCAGGCTCCCGCCGCTGTACGGCGGGGAAAGCTAGCCAAGCCGCGGCCCCTCAGCCCGAGAGCCTTGGGGAGCGCCGGCTCATTGCTCGCTCAACGCCAGGGGAAACGGCGGCCCTGGGAGCGCGGGAGCGGCCGCGCCTCGGGCCAGCCGAGATCAGCTCCGTCTCTTTCCCCCGCCGCTGACGCCGCCCAGTGGGGGCCTCCTTCTCGCCACCTCCGGGCGCTCGCAGCTTCTGGCTCTGGCGGCTGCGGGAGAGGCAGCGCGTCCACGCGGGGCCCGACTGCGGCCTGGGCCTCGTCCTCTGCCTTCCTAGGCCGAGGGAGCGCAGAGCAGCGGTGGGGCCCACACCCGTTGGGCGCACGCCTGAGAGAGACCGGGAGTTGAGGGGTGGTGGTGGGGCGCGGGCCGGCCCGCGAGCCCTT